TGGTTAATGAAACAATATTCCAGCAAAGCTATGAAACGGCAATGAGCATCCACTTGATCACTAATGATCGATTTTACCTTTGATAGACGCAAGTCAAAATTTTCAGGAGTGGATTTCTTATTTCAAGGAAAACAAACAGTTACATCGTTATAGGTACTTATACAAAATAATACTCATATAAAAATCCAAAGTACCTAAACAAAAGTAAACATTAATATAAATTCTGAATTCAAGCTAAGTACAACAATACCATTAGTGAAACAAACGACATTTTCCGAAATGAATAACGCTATCAGCAGAAAAATAATGTACGCAACAGCTTTAACTGACGCAATAACAAAACAGCAGAAACTTAAGAGTACTGACTATAAAAGTTTAAAAATTTCGGATTTCCAACCACTTGCCAAATCTCGGAGAGAGACTTAGTAACATTCTGATGCTATCCACCGTTCTGTGCATGTGTTGAACTTTCTGTTGAACACCTGACCATATGGACAACGCAGGAAGTGTGGGGGCCTGTGTAACTGGTAACACATGTAGTAATAAGGTTGGCAATGAGAAGTCTGCAACGGGCCAACGAACTTACAGGGCTGGCCTGGAAACAACAGAGTGCATCGTATGACCACAGCTAAACCAGACCGAAACGCTTACTGAGAATCACGTTGTGTGACATTTCCACGCGGCACACGCTGACAGTGGCCATCGGAACACAGTTGCTGGCACTGTGACTGAAGTAGGTTCCTGGCGGACAGCGTCCAATAATCACCATTCCGTAGACGGTACAGTACAAATAATCCGGACCGCAAGGTGCTCCTATGACGTGAAACCTTCCTCTCCGATATGAAGGAACGCAGAAGCGATTGAAGTTCGCTATAGGTTAATCGTCACGCATTTCAATACAATTTACGGCTTACGTTGACGGCAACTTTTTAACGAACAGCCCCTGATGTTTTCTAGAGCGCCACATTTGCGACCATTGCCAGAAGGGTACTGAATGATATGGCGGAACCGCCGTCTGAAGCTGCGACCGCAAGAACCGGCGCATTCGGCCCACGGGCCCCATTCAGAAAGTTTGCAATCTACAAAACCTTACAGTCACTGCGAAGAAAATCATTTCACGGTGGAAACAGACGCAACAAAACAATACAGCACTGACCATGAAGCGGAACTACAAAAATAGGTTCGGCAACTGCCATAGCCAAATATATTGTTGACGTTTGCAATGTTAAACTACAGAAACAAGAAAAGCAAAGAGAGATGGAAATTCCCCACTGAGTGCGGCAACATTTACCTTCATCGCACAGGTTAAATGCTCAGTTAAGCCTAACGGAAGAAACCCGAATTTGGCAAACCTCCGAGTTGCTTTCCTTATGGAAGTACTTGAGTAGTTTACTACTTAAGCTGAAACTCGTAGAAAACTCTCACTCACATATAAAATATCTTGTGAGTTACTTAACACGAATGGTCAAGTAGGCAATCAGCAATATACTAGAAAGACTTGAAAAAGCCTGAAGGAACATCAGACCATGCGACGTGCTATATGACCAAATGATGCTGCATTGACGCACAAGAGATGGGCTTATTGCTGGATAAGCAATCGGACCAGGGGGGGGGATTGCGCATGGGTTAACAGATTGCTTTGCACTGTAGAAATGCCAGGTTCAACAACATAGGGCTGCGAAAGGTTTTCTCTAATAAATTGCCATTTCCTTTGAGCAGTAGTTCATTCCGCTGTGCATTGGTGCAACCAGTAGAAAACAATAGGGACAGCATGCTGTTCTGAGGTAACGGTGCTCGAGCAAGTGAGATACATGACCGTGATCTGTGATTCGTGCGCCTACAGCTGAAAAAAATTCACAAAGGACATAAACAGTTATTAAAATAAATAAACAAGCAATTCCCAAGGGATCGTGTTTTCATGAAGCTTTCGTCAAAAGTATCGTAGACAGTAGAGCAGATCAATGCATGCAAAAAGTACATGCGTCAGATCAGCTGACAAACAAGGATTGGGAGATTAAATCGGGACATCACTAACATAGGCACGAGAATCCATAAAGTTCCCATTTGCAACAGCATAAAACACTCTTTATCCATGCACAAATGGACGACTGACAGTATCAACGTTGTGGTTCGTGTCTCATGGGGCATATTCAAAAGAGAAAAGTAGGTTGGCTTCGGATATTATTTCCGTCGTTTGCAGCGGTTCCAACATGGAGCCATAATCAACCGATTCACCGCAGTATGGTTGCGTTGTGTACAAATAAACGATGCTTTATTCTGTTTTCTGTATGGCCACCAAAACAAAATACTCAATCTTCAGAAATTCTCACTAGGAGAGTTATAATTCACACTAGTAACCATTGGTATGAAATTTTGTCTTGCAAATAAATCGAATGTTTATGACGAAAAATGCAGAGGTCAGCGAATTAATGAGAATTTGTAGGCTGAGGCTGGAACATGATGTAGCAATGGACGTTTAGGTCATGCGACGAAATGAAAGATTGAAAGAACACACTTGAATTGTCATGTTCTGCTAAGCTCATAAATATGTATCTTAGTAACTATCTTTACACGTCAGTGCCAACTACCGTAGTATTACATTCAAAAATATAACATGGTTCCACTCCTCAAATAAGTCAATGTCCATAC